GCACTGGACTAATTGAATACACTTATGTTCATTATAATTATTGTTTTCGACTTGATACATTTTATATTTGTTTTGTTGGATTTATGTACCTAAAGGTATTCAAACCTAAAACATTTCGTTTGACCTTCGTTTAACATCCTCACAAAATGTGTCACAATTAAGATGGATGCCGAAAACACAATACCTTAGGTTCTTTTGTGCAGTGAAGTTCCAAATTATTATTGATATCGTTAACGTTTACTGCAGTACATGTCAAAGCATCACAAAGTCAGCCACTTCAAATCGGGTATAGCAGTTAATTTCAAAACGATAACAGCGTTCACCTTCTTATCGCCACATGATGTCTGTTCTAAAGGAATCGACCTAAAATAGCAGGTGAATCCATCCGTCGAACAGCACATAATTCGACACATCGACTCAAAACTGGTTCCATTTTCGTAAGCTGGGGAATTCTGGAATTGTATAGAATAAAACTTCATCAAAGAACGGTTTTGTTGATTGTTAAATTTTAAAAAGATAAAACATAGAGAGGAGTGTGGCTTTACAGCTACATTTCATCTGTAGCAACATCTGTAACACAAATCAATAATTCATAAACTCTGCTCTCCATGACGTCTTTGCCCATCCTTTCGTTATAACCTTGATTTAATAACAGATTTTCATTTGACAATTTTGAAAATCACAAAGCTCAACATATTCAAAGTGTATTAGTTCAGGTTTTGATCTTTTATCATATTTGGGAAACTATTCATGACGTATTATTTTCACATCATTTGTCCAATTTGTGATAATATATTGGCCAGCGACTAATTTTGGGATATCCGATTGCTCTTTACCAACCCTGGAAAATTTGAAGTCAGATGTAAATCGATCAGCACACTGCTGATCTCCATTAGTCGTTTGACCTGCGAGTCGCCCGTTCGTTAATAGAGTCGAACCGGATATAGAGGTGTTGAGAGCGCATGCTTTTCTACAGAAAAACAGAATGGTAGACATTAATGTACTTTGAGTAGATAACGATATTGTGGGAACGCTAAATTTACATTTGAAGTCAAAATGAGGCGAATTGGCCAAGAAACTTCACATTCTTTCTTCAGGGCACTATAAAAGAACAAGAGATGGTAAGATGGTATTAAATTGTTATTATTTCATTGTTGAGATCTGTGTGATGTACACGATACACTGACAGTGCCATAATCAGTTTCATTAGGCTACACCGCCGTTCCAAAACATGGGTATACAGAATGTCAAGTCACAAGAATGAACATGCGAAAGGTGTATAATGTAATCGACTGCCTGATTTGAACACGTGGTTGGGGACATTGCTTTGAAGTTCCTCGGAAATTCTGAGGTTGGTTCCTAAAACCATGAAGCCTTCTCCCAAAGTGCATCCCATTCATGCTGGAACTGTAGACCTGGGCCATGAGATATATACCTTCGTGAGGTTTCACGGATGATTAAAAGTTTAGACTCACTGGTGTAAATATAGCCACTTACTTCAGGCAATTGTTCTAAACTAAATTTTGCAAAATATTCCATACTGTTTAAAGGTACTGTTTACACATGAATTGATGTATTGTAAAACAGATTCGTAACGTTGAACAGTTTATTGTCATGAGTTCAGTAAATGATGAAAATCAGTGCAAATTGGCGAAGTCTTAACAAAACTTTACACCAACACGCAGCTGTTCACATGCACGACAGCTTTCCAGCGTTGAAATACTAAGAATGTGATGCTTTTCCAGCAATTTGATGCATGATCATCGTGCAATTCAGCTGCTTAGAGTTTGCAGTTGTTTCCTCCAAGTTAGTGGAGAAATCAATCTTCGATGTAACCATATATGGTACATATACGCGCACACATAACATATAGTGGGTGTTTTAAGTGAGTCTAAACTTTTGAAGAGGAGTATACTTGTATAATTGAAGTAGTTAGATAAGTGCAGACAGTCCGTGCAGCAGTTCTTATATCCTCCTGGTGCTGTTTCCGTTGAAAACGTAGTACTGAATCTGTGCATATTGCTGGTGTATGCCTTTTTGCCAATGTACCTTACAAACACCTTAGTCAGAGCTTCATATAGGCCTACATGCAGTGTACAAGACACCAGACTGGATCCATAGGTGAGGTATCCACTTTGAAGTATCAACACCACACCTCAACACTTTGGTCCCACACACATATTCACACTTACTCTGGAGCAGATAGCGAAGTCTTTAAGGTCGCTACAGAACAGGGTGAGAAGGTCCAGGGATTGGATGGCGCGTGTGAAGTAGGGTAATTAAGTGCAGATGTCATTACAAACAGGTCGGTATTGTTGCAGCCACTGTCGGAGTCATGTCTCAAACCCAGGCTAAAACAGAACGTCAAATATTTGCCATTGTTAGTAATTGTGGTACTGGTATAAGTATATAACATTAATAGATTACATGTAACTATTGAATATCGCTGCTACGTATATGTATTGATTCATCTCTGAAAGAACGGTAAAGATCATATCACTCGTCTACTAAGAAAGCATCCCACGAAGTGGCTCCACCGGATGCAGCAGAAACACTTACATGTGTCCAAGCTCATGAGCAGCTATGATCCCAACAATACCATCAGGAACGTTTATGGTAATGCTTACAGGTAGGTCCGTGCACAAGAAATCAAATGCGGCAACACCTGGAACAGAAAGTTCAACCATCACTCTCTGTCCACCACTATAGTGTACATGTATAATACCGCAAATACCACATACAGATTAAATCAGACTCGATATTTGGAGTTTTCCCAAATACTGACTTGACACGTCATTCCCATAAAAAATAAAATTATGAACTCATCGTAGGAGACATCCGTCATCCCTCAACATGATGTCACACAACAAGAAGTGGAAGGGGAAGATGGTGTAGAAGAAGAGGAGTGCCGCAAAGAAGGCAGAGAAGAAGGCAAACAAGAAGGAGTAAAATGATAGGGTGGCGTAGAAGAAGGCGGAGAAGAGGAATGTGCAGATAATAGTGGACACGAAGAGGATGGCGAAGAAAGATAGTGGAGATAATGGTGGGAAAAAAGGAGGGGAAAAGAAAACAGCCAAATAAGGAAGGGGAGAGGGCGGTTAAGAGTGAGTGAGTGAGCGATAGGGCGGTTAAGAAGAACATGGAGAAGAAAGCAAAGGAGAAGACGGAGACGACAATGAAGACGAGAGCGGCGAGCAGGAACAATATGCCCAATAAGTAACATCTAAACTTTCAGTCCAATTTAGTTGTACCCACCAATGACTGGATTCGGATTTGCTAAGGCGTATCTGTAACAAGTAATGTAGAATATATGATCAGATACATTTAAACACACAAAATTAGATCACAGGATTCTGAGGTATATTTTTTAAGTTGCGGTCACAAAAGTACCAAACTATCTGTGCAGATCTGAATACATATCAGTACATTTCCTCTGTAGAACTTTGTCCCTTAGTCAGTATCGCGGTTAGGAATCCCCTTATTACCCCATATTTTCGTCACGTTATAACCTTATCTCTCATCACTAGTCACACGTGGTAAATATCGCCCACCATGTTACCATTATGCTGGTACCTCATAAGAATGTAATGTCCATCGATCACTTACCTGTCTCTTAAAGCCTAAAGCGACTTCAGCTGACAGTCACATATGCCATGTATTCTACCTGATATAAAATCAGGGGCAAAAACATTATCTTCTTGCGTTAGATATTAACAGACACAAAATGAACAGACATGCATTTACTGTTCAGTGCTCATCGGCGGCAGGTCAGGTGATCTTGTTGGCTGTTGATGTTGGAGTTCAATAAGTTCCTTGTGACAATAGCTGCATCAGTATTGTCACTGTTCTGTTGATACAATGGGTTTTGTCGGAGGAATGGTTGCGCAGCAGGTCGCAAGCTGTGAGATTCCTACCACTAAACCACTAGGGAAAGTTATGTCCATTGTTCTTGGAAGTGTTTAATTAGCATAACTGAATAACTGCCCAAGGGCAATTATTTATATTTAAAAACAATAAAATTGTGCTCATTTTGATCATCTTCATCATGCCTAATACATTACATGCGTATTAAATACGTATGTCCTCGTGGTGTAAGCCGTTTGATCCCCCTCATTACGGTAGTTATTTAAATAAACTCTGTCGGTCTAAAGCCCTCGCAGAGTTTATTTAAATAACTAACTTGTAAGGGTGATTAACCTATACATAACAACCAGATTGGTCTCCGCAAATGCTTCCCCAAACCATCACACTCCCACTCTCTGTAAGGCTCCACTTCCGTGTGCAACAACGTGACGTTCACCACACAGCCTGACACGTAAAGTGACGTCAGGTTGGTGGAGTTGAAACCTGCTTTTGTCGCTGAAAAGAACCCGTTGCTAATTTTGCTGTTGCCACTGATGAACTGTACAGCATTAACTTAATCGTCTAGCTCGATGTTCAAGTGTGAGTGTCATGAATTCGAACGGCTTCCAGGCTTGGAGTCAATAATGGCGTCGTGTGGACAATGTCCTGTTTATTGGATCTCTCACACCACATTAAGAACTCTTTTCTTCAGGTGAAACACCCGGAAATGACGATCGTCCTTTGGGGGTGACTCTTTGTCTTCTGGTTCTGGGCCAGTCTGCTGTTCAACCAGTTTGCCGGTGTCGTGTGACGATAGTGCCCTTTGCACAGCTCATACTTCGTGCAACATGGTCGGGGCCATGTTCCAAAACGAATTGCAGAACAGACAACGTACAGTACTGCAAGTGTTCTGTAATCGATTCTCAGGCGCATAGTTCTCTGCACACCCAGCAGGCTGTAGTGAATAAATTCAGGGTTATTTTACGACATAAACGTGCAACGCGTGGCTTTCTCTCAAGCATTATGCATGTGGCATTTATGTTCCAAGCTGATATATTGGTTTATGACAATATGATAGTGAATGAATACATGTTTACCTTTGGAGGCGTTCCTGTTCCTGTGTCTAATCACACACATATATAACTCATGTGCCTTACCTTGTGAAGATCATATAGGCGTCGGCTGACCTTGGTGCGTTAGCTAAGAGGTATCGTGCATGGTTCAAGAGAGCCGGCACTGCAGGTACAACACTTCCGTTCTTTGTTGTCTCCGTCCAAGGAGACCCAACTACTGACTGAAGTAACAGAAGAACAAATTGTAAGACACCCTTCTCCCTTGTAGTGTATACAAAGAAGTTCAACTGTTCGTTAAATATATAACAACCAAATGAATCGTCATTCCTGTTGATGACGTTACTATAGTCCGTTTGGCTCAAAAGAGGACCGATGAATTGCAATCTTACTCAAAAACTACCAAACATATAATACTCAATGAAACACTGATCATAATCAAAACATCAGGCGAACTCTGTTATTGTTTCAGAATTTATGGCCTGAAAAATATAAAAGTTGTTTAACAAACTATCATTAAAATTTTGACACAGTTCACTATTTGTTACGAGGGAGGACTGCAAAGAGTGGAACAGCCATGTGTGCGAGAAAGGATGGAGACAGCACAGCTAAATGATTCAATAACTTTGTCGGCACTTGTGCACGTGCTCCGCGTACACCTGGCTGTTCCTCTCTTTGCAGTCCTCCCTCGTAACAAACAACTCTTTTGAGCCAAACGGACTATAGCAGAGCGTAACGGTGGCAGTCACTGTACATCAGCTGTACGATCATATTGATATTGACAGAGATAGGAAGATCCCCTTGCTTTCGGTGGCAATATTGATGTACTTTGTCCAGATATTGGTAGAGACAGAAGGGTTCTGTTGCTTGCAATGGCAATGTTGATGTGCCATGTTCAAATATTGATAGAGAAAGACAGGTTCCCTTGCTGAGGTTGGCAATGCTCATGTATTACACCACCTTATCCAGATATTGATAGAGATAGAACTATTCTCCTGCTTACAGTGGCAATGTTGATGTGCTTTATCCAGATATTGATAGAGATAGAACTATTCTCCTGCTTACAGTGGCAATGTTGATGTACTTTATACAGATATTGATAGAGAAAGAAGGGTTCTCTTGCTTACAGTGGCAATGTTGATGTACTTTATACAGATATTGATAGAGAAAGAAGGGTTCTCTTGCTTACAGTGGCAATGTTGATGTACTTTATACAGATATTGATGGAGAAAGAAGGGTTCTCTTGCTTACAGTGGCAATGTTGATGTACTTTATCCAGACAGTGATGGAGAAAAGAAGGGTTCTCCTGCTTACAGTGGCAATGTCGATGTACTTTATACAGATATTGATGGAGATTCGACGTACTTTATACATATATTGATGGATAAAAAAGGGTTCTCTTGCTTACAGTGGCGATGTCGATGTACTTTATCCAGACAGTGATGGAGATGGAAGGGTCCTGTTCATTCACTGTGTCATATCGTACCTGCATCTGTAATGTCACGTCTCGATTTTAGAACAAGGCACATAGGGATAAAACGTAAAAGCATGAGAATTTCAGAGATATCTTCCAAAAGCTGTTAATAGCTGTACAGTTAAGAGATTTATGAGGTTTATTTACGTACTCCAAACTATTGACAGCACAATTGTCATGCAATTATGCATAGTAATACATGGAAATGATGCCACTTGACGTGACATGTTCATTGTAACACACAATAAAGTGCAGCACATAGACATGATGTAATGATAGTCCTGTCTACTGGTTGTCAGGTTTACCATTTCCTCCACGAAGGCATAGTACAGTCTCATGTTGGAGATGGTGACGGTAGTGTTGCCATCGGCGGCCCGAAGAAAGCTACAATAAAGGACATATGTTAAGTATTTGGAAATTGTCAGATGTACATAGGCTTTTTACTGTATATGTATATTATATATGTAGCAAAGGCTTCTGAGGTATGGTATGGTAAATAGAGCGTATGCCCCGAGACGTTAATGTGTTAATCAAAAGACCACAAAAGTCAGCATGCCTGTAATAGTATTGTTGCCCTGCCTTGGCCTCGGCATTACGGTGAGCTAATACGGGGATTGACTGGCCTGTATCAGTGTCAGTATAATGTGTGAGTGTGTATGAGTGTACACGCGCACGCTCACACACACACGAACACACACGCGCGCGCGCGCTCACATACGTATAGACCGCAACTTCAAACAAGCCGTCAACGCGACATTAAAGCCCATTTCACCTCACCGCTTTAAGTCGCTTCTGGCTATTTAACACATAGGTAGGACTTACCCAGTGTAGTCAGAGAAATCAGGGAATAGAGCCAGCTCGATGGTATAGTGTGTATGATCGTTTGACATGCCTGGAACATAACGTAAATATCCATATGTATTTAGTTCCTCATGGTACAAAACACCGTTGGTAATGGTTGAATATTTCTCTTTCGAAGTATTTCCGCAAGTACTTGACGGGGTTTAACTTTCATCACCTGTTCATCCGTGACATATAAATTGTGGTATGCTTCTAACCTTTGGTGGAGTTTGACAGAATATTAATGCCTTCTTCATTTAACACAGTGCTTTCAGTGAATGAGAATGTTTTGAATGCCACCTTCAGCAGTATTCCAACAATATGACGGCACAATAGGGTTCCCACACTATTCCAATGAGGGGTCCAGAACAAGAGTTATCGGATTAACGAACAGACACATCAGCCACCAGGCTGCCCCAACACTCTGCAATTCCTAGGAAGGTTTAAAAGAAAGACATTTAGCGGAATACCTTGTGCATTTGACGGAATGCCTTGGACATTTGACGGAATGCCTTGCTCAAGGGAAGGAAACGCTGTGTCATTATTCATACTAAAGGACACAATCTCTCGCAGCTCGTGCTGATTTCTGCTAGTGGACGCCTGGCGCTTGTCCACGTGATGTTTCTTTGGGGAGATCTTGTATGTCTGATTGTTGAGATGGATCGTCCCAGCCTGAAGAACCACAACGTCATCAGGACATATACATGTATCTTCTTACTTATATCTTTACAACGTCGTGTTAACAACATCAGAACTGGTTTAATGTCGGCAAATTAAAGATTGAATTATCGAGAACGTTTTATTCGAATAGATGATCATCGGATCATAACACGCCACTCTAAACAGAGAAGCCTCAGACCAAAACGTCACCCGTTCGTCCACCCGTGAAGGTCCGGGTTAGAATATTGAATTTCAGTAACCCATGCTTGTCGTAAGAGGCGACTAACGGGATCGGGTGATCAGGCTCGCTGACTTGGTTGACACATGTCATCGGTTCCCAATTGCGGAGACCGATGCTCATGTTGTTGATCACTGGAGTGTCTCGATCACATAACGGGTGATCACTTAGTCTACTTACCAGCAGATACACATCCTCCGTTTTTCGAGTTATGATGGCGGCCGATCCTTGTGCTGAGTTCCGATAAACTGCAGTGTTCTGTCTCAAACAACAACATTTGGTCATCATGCGATGGGTGCATAGGTATTTTTTTAAAATCATGAGTGCTTTTTCATTGTTTTTTTATCAGTATTATTATTGATTTGTGATGAATTTATGGTCAATGATACGATGTTGTGTACTGAACATAAATATTAGGGATTATAATATGGGCTTTTGTGAAATATGAAATTGTGTGCTAGGTCTTCACGACAAACAAATCTCAAAATCAAAATTCATGATCCCAAACAATTAAATACAGTCTCTGCTTACCTCATGCTGCGGGAGGTCAGTTTGAAGAACTGGTCCACGTTCATCAGTCAGATAGACAGGGTAACTCTCTATATCTCGCTCACTCCGTGTCAAATTAAGTGAAACTTCAGCGCCAGAGAGTTCAAACCGGAAGTGAAGAACATCAGGCATGTGCTTGGCGGATCTTTCATGACGAATGTGGGCAGAATGGATTAACACTGGATCCACAACATCTGTGAAATAACGCAGATTTGATTTATCTAAAATTACCTGAAACATCTTGTCTACGTCTATTATGACTGCAATGAAAGGGACCCACAATACCCCAATGAACTAAAACAAAACAGAAACACGCTTTTGTAAGAACGGAGGATGTTTCACGCCGCTTTCAACACACGGTCGTATTATAGCAAAGGCCACAAAGAACAGTCTTCAAAAATGTGTCCCCCCTAAAGACTGAATCGGGTATGCAGTTTCATTTAACACTTAAAACTACCCAGCCATCGGAAGATTTAGTCGAATCATATCAACAAAACAGTCTTGAGGGTGAGTGTACTTAGAGATCCAGACAATGATTGTCAGTGATTGTCAACTAATTTGGGTCATATTGCCATCCACTTTCCTCCTTTTATTTCTTGTTGGCGAGGTGTCACTTGGTGTGTTCAATACGGCTAAGGGGCGGTGGGGTAGCCTAATGGTTAAAGCGTTGGCTCGTCACGCCGAAGACCCGGGTTCGAATCCCCACATGGGTACAATGTGTGAAGCCCATTTCTGGTGTCCCCCGCCGTGATGTTGCTGGAATATTGCTAAAAGCGGCGTAAAACCAAACTCAGTCAGTCAATACGGCTAATGTCACATGTAAAAACACTTACACATGGTAAACAGAAAACACCACTTACCAGAAGCACCATACTGCGATTCGTCCTTGAAGGCAAGCGAAGCAGCCGACGTTGAAACTCCTAGCAATATCAGAGTGAGTAACATCTCGGTAGGAATTAAATTGGGGAATACGTGTTATTGTATCCTTTCAAAGGACATATGTAGTGTCCAAAACGTAAAGTGCTCTAGCCGTGCTGTGACTGACGATAAGATTTGATGACATAAATATATCCAGACCCTCTATATACAGCCGGTCAACACATTTGATGACCATTACCAATAATTGCGTCAAGGGCAGTTTTATCAGGACTGGGTGGCCGAACTGATTACCATTCATCACTGATCATGGTCAATAGTTTCTCCAAAGTAAGAGCCTCGGGGTGTGGAATAACATCAACTGTGACTAAGTCTGAACATGAAATCCTTTATTTTAATGTGGAGCTTACATATAACAGCTTATTATACATTATCTTGCCGTTGACCGATATAACATCGCGTATATTGTACATAATACACGAGGCGGTGGGGGTAGCCTAGTGGTTAAAGCGTTGGCTCGTCACGTCGAAGACCCGGGTTCGATTCCCCACATGGGCACAATGTGTGAAGCCAAATTCTGGTGTCCCCCGCCGTGATATTGCTGGAATATTGCTAAAAGCGGCGTAAAACTAAAACTCAGTCAGTCAGTACATAATACGCTGTTGGGTTGATATAACTTGAGCAGTGGGGTAGCCTATTGGTTAAAGCGTTTGCTCGTCACGCCGAAGACCCGGGTTCGATTGTCCTCTTGGGTACAATGTGTGAAGCGCATTTCTGGTGTCCCCCGTTGTGGTATTGCTGGCATATTGCTAAAAGCGGTGCAAAACCATACTAGCTCACTGATATAAAGATATACAAAAGAAAGTATACCTTTGTGGAGCTATGTTTGATGGTTGATATGATGAAGTAAACAACAAATCGTTATTCCATGGCATTTGATGCGGTGTCATAGTTGTAGGCTGACGTTTGTAATGTTTCGACGACTCATCCATTTCTGTCAAATCCCATATTCAAGTGCAAACTTTCTTCCGCCCGGTGATATAAATATTGCAAGTTAGATATATTTTATGTCCGTTTCTATAGCGAGTGACTATAGCGGGACGTCGTGGCCTTGTTATATTATGTCTGTTACTGAAGTTTGTGACAAATCACAAATGTCACCGACATTATTCTTTGCAATTTCATTTTCAAACCATCCGCAAAGGGACTCAACAAAACAAGTCTGAAGTGTCAGAGTTTTCACTTGTGTACACCCCATGCGAATTACAAACATGTCTTAAGTGTTTTTCATTTTGAGAATACAGTGAGGGTGCCATATCCCATTAGGTCATTCAAATTTGTCACCATTCCCAACTGATGGACCCGGGATGACAAAAGATAGGGAGAGGACCAACACCCTCAGATACCCAGTAGAAAATCGATCACCGACAGTTGGCAAACCCACAGCACTTAGTAAAACTCTTGCTAAACTTGCCGATATGCACCCGAATGGTCAATCAGCAGAGAACAACAGCTCGTCCACATAGTCTCATCGTCCTCCAGTTTCGTAACATATGTTATAGTTAGGATCACAATTTTCCCACAAAGAAGAGATTCTAGTACCTTGTCGGGTTTGCAGTACACACTCTCGTGGTGAGGCATCTGATCGCTAGCACACAAAGCCAGAGATCTAAACCACGCAGCCACAGCGGCTTCCACGATGAACCACTTCCAGTGCTTGTTTGCCAACACAGAATTGTAGGAATTAGTTATTTATAGTTTAATTTTGTCTTGTGCAACCCCTTATAGGCCACCGTTAACTTATGAAATATTACGAATGTAATCAATCCATTAATTAACGTGTCGATAAGAAAACCTCTCGAACGCCGACACAAACATTGATGTTTAATGCAGCCAAGTGTTGATATACAACTTAATCATGTTTACGTACATAAACTGAAGGCAAAAGAAAGTATTTTGAGCTTCTAAATTGAAGTTGAATTGAAAAATAATGACGTGTTATTGTAATAATTATATCCATTTAATCACCACTCATTCCGACAGCTGTTGTGAAGAGCAACATGTGACTGGCAATGTTTTGTAAGAACATATAGATTCCATGACGACTGGTACAAGAAACTTGAAGCTACTTACTATGTATGAAATATAAATATGCGCCTAAAAAAATAATGTTTATTGATTTCCAATGATGAACTGTCTGAGATGCCCCTCAGCAGTTAAGTATTTGGGGCTTTTGTATTTTCAAAGCCCATGTAAATTAAATTTAATGCCACGTTATTGTTGGCTTTTGGGGGGTTAAGTCAAACTGAAATAGTCAGAAAGTGTCAGAGGTAACAAACAGCAATATGGCAAATATATATTTGAGGTGCATTGCTCACAATGGACACCTATAAATTTAAAGAGCTATTCTTCGTCATCATTGGAGTATGGGTCGAATTATTTCATTATTGTTTCATCATGAATATGGCGGTTCCGTTTTCCAAATTGGCAAATGGCTTGGGCAATATCCTGAAAGCAGTTGCCCTGATATCGAACAAGGTGTGTAGAGTGGAGGCTTGACACCAAGACCAATTCGAGGAAGCAATATAATGTGTAGAAAGGGCTTAGGTCTCGTTTTAGAAACAGTAGCACATACCATGTTGAGTATGGAAACCAGAGCACAGGGTATCGGAAGAAGTAAGGTCTGCATGACAACAATACTATATATTTCAAAGCACAGTGGAACGAAAGGTACTCTGAACTAGAAACAAATTAAGGAAACAAGGAGACATAGGTGGGAGGGAAGTCTGCCTGCTCCAAAACACGTGATTTACACGGTGATGGTGGTGAGATAAGGATCCGTACAGTTTGTTTGGTATTAAGCGGGATAATTTCAGATTTAAGGGTACTTGAGATATGATTGGAAGAAGTCAGTGATTGCGTTGCAATGTCGCAAGATGTCATATTTTCTGTTGACAGCACCGTTATATTGTCAGGCACCGTTTCCCAGATGAATGTTTCACGGGTACTGTTATTTCTAGGAATGCGTCTCATACGTAAAGGCCGCTGTCTTGGCCGACGAAACACAGTGTGGAATGTGGTGTATCGAAACCTCTTTTCCTTCACGAACACACAGATGGTACAGAGAATGCCCGCTCCGGCTATGGACATAATACCGATCATGATTTTGTAACTCATGTGAAGAGGAAGATCTGAAACAGAAGTCATTGAGTTGAGTTTAACGACGTTTTTTGCCAGTATTTCCATCATACCATAATGTGTTGTAGTAGGGATTGGTCAAAATAATGGTGACATAATCACTAAACTCTGATACACACACACACATATATATATATATAGATATAAATATATATGCACACACACACACGCACACACATTTATATTATATATATATAGTCCCTTTGTAAGCAAAGAGATGTGCTATATTTAGACTTGTTCTACATTTTAGACAGAATGATTTGGAAAGGGTTACATATATTTAGACCTGTTCTACAATTTAGACAGAATGATTTGGAAAGGGTTACAAGAACCTTATTCCAGAATCATCTACCTTAAAGAGGTATATATGTAGCCCTGCCTCTTATCTCACCTTACACCTCCAGCCACAAGAAGACAAGCAATGTATACGATGATCTCACTCTGGATACGCTTTTCTCTTTAGTCCAAGCTGGATTACTGTTGCTGAGAGTTGAATATCACGATCATTACCGTTATTCAATCTGCTATAACAGTACTCTTGCATAATATCATCTCTGAATGTGTACTGCCTCACAACGTTGTCCTGCCACAGGACCTTTGTGTTGATTTGATCTTAAAGTTAGTTAAGTTTACAATACAATTGTTAATTACAGCTCATTTCTCGCTTTAATGTTGGTTTCACGCCTAGTTCTTCAAGAACGTATTCCGGTTAACGTTTCAACACGAAACAAATAATGTATTTTGGGCTGTGTAACTGGGGATTTTTTAAAATTCGATTCCAGGGGAGATATCGTTGCATTTACATTGAATTTAAAATACTTTTAAAAGAATGTGTCATCAGTTGGTATGACGTTATAATCAAATGACATCACTAACCTCACTGTTACTGCTGCACGTTTTCACATTGGAGACAATGCCTGTAACTGTTTACACACATGAGTATCAGGAGAATAACTGGCTAGGATAAACAGAATCTCACCCTCATGTCATTTAATAACAAATATGTCAACACTCAAAGATAAATTTTAAAACTCGTTCCAAGTCTCGTAGTGTTGAGCCTCTATTGACTCGTGTTGATCTATTTGATGTCAACACACAGCGGGTGAAATTCTCTATATGTCAAACAGCAACTTTGTTGCTAATAATCCCGAGACCTTAGACATCCATAGAGAATACTACACGAGGTCTCATTACATACGAATTATACGAAACGAGTGTCCTTCCTATGGTATCTGACCGAGCGAAAGCGAGGTCAGATAACACAGGAAGGTCACGAGTTTCGTATAATTCGTATGTAATGAGACCGAGTGTGGTATTTTATTTATTACCCACGTCTTACATGCATTAAATTGACAAAATAGCGTATTTTTGTTAATATTTTGGTTTCAAACCGAAACCGGTTTCATAAAGAGGTTGCGGAAGAGTTTTGTACTGTAGTACAGTATTTGCATGACGTCACTGTAATGACGTCACTGCCTTTGTAACCGACGTCACGATGCATGTCAGTTGTCATCGCCTCATACAGCCTCCTACAGTAAACTACTCCGTAGCACCCCGTTTCTTGGTTTGCAGTTGCTTCATTCGGCTAACATCCCTGGTGGAAACATTGCGTTTACGTTTTTCGACGGGTATAATGTCTCAGTTCGACTCACAATTAAACAGCGACACGGCAACGTTCGCGATGTTTACATTCCCACAATGCATTTAAGTTGTAGAATGAATGGATTCACGTGTTTGTTATGAATGAAAAATAGTTACGTCAGAATGTGACCTAATTGAGAGGTCATCGGTTATCCAATCAAATCGTTAGAATCTCAGGTCAAGTCGTTACGACACAGGTCAACGCGATACGACACTCGTGTGACGTACGAGATTAGTATGCAACTACCCATACGTTGACCACGTGGGTAATAAATGTATATATTTTACACGTGCCAATATTGTGAACTATGACCGAGAGAATCATAACGGGAAACAGTGCATATTGTGAAGCTGGTTGGTTCACTTTTTCTTTCTGTCATCTAATTTACATAACTGTAATATGTATAGCTTATTCCAAAAGTTGAACTTATTTCCTGAAAATAGTAATTTACACCCTGTCTGTTTCAATAGGAACTTGTTTACTGATTTTTGCGACGATTAAACAAACGTTCAAAGTTTAGTCATTAAAGGCCAAAAATTACTGTATCTCTATTTCCTACAGAACATTAAGAGAGCACGTAGTTCGAATATCAGACTGGTGTGCTGGTATCTATTTCACCTGTAACGAATTGTTTTGAATCATTTTGGACCCGTAAAGGTCCGGGTTAGAATATTGATCTTCAGGAACCCATGCTTGTCGTAAGAGACGACTAACGGGATCGGGTGGTTAGGCCCCATGCTTGTCGTAAGAGGTGACTAACGGGATCGGGTGGGTCAGGCTCGCTGGCTTGGTTGACATATGTCATCGGTTAAGAATTGTGCAGATTGATGCTCATGCTCTTGATCACTGGATTGTCTGGTCCAGACTCGATTATTTACTGACCGCCGCCATATAGCTGGAATATTGCTGAGTGTGGCGTAAAACTAAACTTTCTCACTCACTCATTTGAATCATATGTAACAACTTCAAACAAAGTTGTAACCACGTGTTCCGGTGATTTTAAGGTGAACATGTGACTTTTCTTGAAACTGGTGAGGCCGGATACCATCACATTTTCACGATTACAGAGTTTTGGACAGTGATTCACACATAAACACATGCTTATAATATAGTCGGAATACAAGCATGGGTTTCCTATTATTCTAACGCCCTAATGTACAAATAATTCTTATCATATTATAGTAATTCCTATTTACAATATTACAGCCACCATTGAACCACGAAATGACATAATAATAGATTATAGCATAATATATGACTATACAAGAAGATGAAATATTTTGAGAATAATCCGGACAGGGATACCAATATTTTAAAAAGGGATTCATCTGGGCGCCATGTATTGTCGCTAATCCAACGTACATTTGTTTGTACACTGAATAAAAACCATTGACCACTGCACTTTGACCACGCGCATTTGCACATATTGTAACTGACCACTGCCCTTTGACCATGCCCCACACTCATTTGAACATATTGTAACTGACCACTGCCCTTTGGCCATGCCCCACACGCATTTGCACATATTGTAGCATTTGCACTTTTTCTGAATGTCCACCCATTTTGTTCTGAGGAGGTGGGGGGTGGGGTGGTGTGGTGGTGGTGATGTCATCAAATTTGTACATATGGAAATATAGAATTATGCTTAAAAAATATTGGGGGAGGGGGTTTCATTTATTTTGTACATAACATGCAGGGGGGTCACTTACTTTAACATAAATTTTATGGGGGAAGGACATTCACATTGTACATGCTTCTCCATAAACATCATCATCACCCTACTCCGACCACACCCTTGCCATAAATAATTAACGGTCCCTAAATAGGCTCGTACTCGACCGCACCTGTAGCATCCGTCACAAACATTTGAAAGTACAGTCAATTGGGAACCTTCTCCACTGATAGATGTATGAACATGATAAATACATTATGAAATTATTACGTATTTATGTTTTAGATCTCAATGAGAAAATGCCTGTTTTCTTTCATGCATAGCAACAGTCTGATACTGTTAAAATAAATAAAAATATTTTGAGATATGTATACTGCAGGTACACGTAATTTCACCTATGTTTTCTGTATAAAATCATCAAAATCATATACTGCACAATATTGTTTGAATCATTCGTAAAATCAGCACTTTTAACCCGTGAATATAACAGTGAGTTGTGATGTTTTCTGCAATTTGCTGTTAATGCATCTCGGTACATGAGGGAAGCATGGTTCAACAAAACGGTATTTTCAACAAACAACTTACGCTCCTTGCCAGCTAGGTAGTACTGGGTAGTGGGTGTATACGGGTCCAGGCATATCCCCTTCCACTGGTCACAGCCGTGCTGGCACTGTCGGCAGTCCTTGTCGCAGGTGTACCCGTACAACCCTTTCACACATCCTTCAGCGCACAGGTCAAACAGACACGCGGAGTTGTTGTTGTTGCAGTCAGGGTTGCAGGGTGTGCAGTTAACACCGTAGTACCCCGCCAAACAACTCACACAACTACCGTCGGCGCTGCAGGCGAGGCAGTTCACCGAGCATTCTGAAACCCAGGGTAAAACGAACCACGTCAAGGGTGATTTTAAAACACAAGGTATGGTTATAAACTGCATTTAGCAGTATTCTAGCAATATCGAGTAAACGGGGCATCATAGATAGTGAGTGGGTAAGTGAATTTAGTTTTACGCCGCTTTTAGCAATATTCCTGCATTATCATGGCTGTGACACCAGAGGGGAATCGAATCCGGGTCTTCGGCATTACGAACAAACGCCTTATCCACTAGGCAATTCCACCGCCCCCATCATAAATAGGCTTCATGCCTTGTTCCAATATGGACTGTGGGCTGTCCGTGTTACAAGCGGACGCATAAGCAGTAAGCTTTCCGACTGCCCTTCACTCAAGCAAATAAAGTTTAAAGATACAGGCATACAAACAAAATGTACACTTCCCAGGCAGTTGTGCCGGGCCATATCCTTATAGATATGGATTGCCGAAGCCGCTATCACTACGGTTCGAACAACTGTTCACGAGATCTATATTACCAAAACATTGGTGAATTATCTCGGGTTAAATTCAGATGAGCAAAATATGTCCTTTAGTCTAAAACAGTATAAACGGAGGTTCAATTTACTCTGTATGTTGTGATTTTAAAGGAAAACCTGTAAACCCTTTAAAGTTTAGGAACTTGTAGTTTCATTTCTATTGAATCCCGTGGTCTTTCTATTAATACTCATATTTTCTTGAAAACATATTACTCAAGCCTTTGGCAAGCATTATACATATAGTTGTGTTCCTAATATATTTTATATATGAAACACTCAAGGTATGAATCTCGTCTTTATATTATATAATTCCCACAAAATTTGATGTTTAAGGGAAATATGTATGTACGTCTTCATAGCATGTTTATCAACACGATTACGAGTTTGACTTGGATTGTTCCTAAGACATCACTGACAGGTACAACAGCTATGTTTTGAACACCCAAGGCGACCTATCCAGCTCGAATTCCTTCGGCCGATTGAAACTGCAACGACCTATTAGTATTTCGAGATAAGTTAGTAATAGATCATAGTTACGATATGGGTTCTGTCGGTACACAAATTATATCATTTCAAATGTAAATCAGTTCTAGTTAACAAGCTATGTGTATTTCTGAGAATTTGTTTTGTTTGACATTTCTCAAATTATGAAAACTGTATACAAATATCTTACCATGGGAGCCTGTGACATAGGCCAGAGTCAGCATTACCAGACTACAAAGCACGGAGACAATCCATGGTGCCATGCTTATAGTCCTGCATGGGTGTCTTCAACTGCTGCCAAGGTCGAGCACTTGCACTAGTGAGAATATGAAAGATATTACAGTCAATCATTCAATCTTTAGTCATCTTCCTAATAAGGCTGTCAAAGGCCTATAATGCATTGTCATACAGGCATGTTACGAAAACATACATTCTTAGTTTCATAGCACTGTAGTTATAGCCGAGAGCATACACTGTACATAGGAATAATAGGGAAGTCTTATGGCATCGCTTTGGTGTAACTCTTTTTCATGAAGATTTCTTGGTTTATAGCTACTTCCCTTACTTACAAAAATCGTTAAAATTCATGTATTTGTTCTCGTAATTTGGATAATTTTCTGATAATGTGTCAAGAAAATTATCGACGTGATAAAAAAAATCGAATTTTCAACAATCAAATTAAATAATTGATCTATAGTGAGACCATGATCTACATTACGAGAATAAAATCCAAATTTCGAACAAACTAAACTATATACAAATAATCAGAACAAAATTCAAAAATACGATGCCAAGAAATAAAATAATGCTTTGAAAGTGGTAACATTATGTTTTTGTAGGATATGCATTACGCAAATTTTATTCTGTAGTTTCGAAGATACACTAAAAGAAACGTTACCCTCCTACCTTATGAATTACTGAAAAGCTATCAAACATATGTTAAAAGGTATTAGTTTACAAGAAAGCTTAACAACACAGCTTTATGCAAATCATGAAAAATAATTCTCAAATGCATTCATATTCAAATTAGGTGAAATGCATCTTTTCCAGAAGAGTTAAATTGTCCTATATTCGTCCATGCCGAAATAACCAATAACAGTGATTATAACAGCAATAACTATTTAAACAAGAAACAACTGTTGTAGAGTGTGTAAAATTGTAAAATAATCATTCCTATGATTTCAGTCTTTTAGAACATTTTCTGCTGATTTGCATTAGTGAAAACAAGTAAAACGTGTCTTTGATATTGTGAAAGAATGTTTAGGAATATCTAAAAGTATCTTTGTTAACATGTTTGCTTGCAAAGTAACATTTTTCCATTTTCTGTTTACACGGCAATATCAATCGCCAAAACGCAGCATTATTCAAGAAGTATATGCATCCATTTCACATGTAAAATGATTCTATAGGGTATGAAGAGAGCCTATAATACATGATACGATACACAAGTATGAGAAATATGCCACGATTAACAGCTGAAGTGAGAGAAAGAGCCATTGGGATGGTGCAGATGGGGTCGACATACAATGCTGTTGTCAACGCCCTCGGATGCCACCGTATCACGGTTATAAAACTTATTCAGGGCTTCAGACAGACTGGGGTCACCGTAGACAGACCAAGAAGTGGACGTCCGCGCATCAAAACACCAGCTGAACATAGGTACCTCCGTCATTAAAGAAGGAGGGTAACGTTTCTTTTGGCGTTTAGTGTATATATGTTACAGGAAATATGTATAATCAGTAAATATGTATAATTACTGAAAATTTCAGTAATTATGTATAATGTCTGATTCACTCAGGAATTATGTATATTTACTGAAAGTTTCAGTAATTATACATAATTCCTGAAATATAAGAAACAAAATTATACATATTTACTGAAATCATTTGAATTACTGAAATATTAATATCACTTTTAAAATCAGTCAGATTTTCATAGATATGTCATCTTATGGTATATAAAATACAGCAGGATCAAAGGTTGAGTGTAGTTCAGTCACAACATAATTATACTTATTTATCGAAAACCATGGTCTTCACGGTATTCAAACAATAAAGGGTTTTAAGCATTTTTAGTAAGAAATACATGTTAAATGATTGAAATCATGGCCTGTAAATACATTACAGCAGCATCAAAGGTTAAGTTCAGTACAGTCACAACATGATTATACTTATTTAGGACTTTTCAAGATTTATGAGACGAACAAACGTGTTCTGATACCAAAGGAAGAATACTACAAGATCATCAGCGACCTCCTAGAAGCATCCAAGACCTCCAAGAAGACTCCTCATCAGTACTGTCTTCTTAAGAGTATGAAGTTCTTCAGTGTGGTGACACTACAGACTGATAAGAAGACGTCAGTACGAAGAAGAAACACCCCTGTACTTCATTTCCATAGAAGAGACCTATGAAGTTGTCAAACGGGGTCACATTGCGACGGGCCATGGGGGACGGGACAAAATGGTTCATGAACTGTCCAAGAAGTACGCAAACATAACCATTGAAGCATTGACCCTCTTCAAGAACCTGTGTGTTGAATGCCAGCTGCCTTAGGAATTCATGCCACTACAGCATCGACAGCTGAACCTGCTCAAGAGAATATCTTTGAGGAATCTGACACTACTGCTGGAAAATCGTCAACAATTGAACCTGCTGAGGAGATCATCTCCGAACTGAACACTATAGCGTCACATGATGAACCTAAGACTACTGAAGAGAACAGTCAACTAGATGCCATTTCATCCAACCAAGAAGCCATTCAGCTGCAGAGGAAAAGAGCGTGTGAAGCTCAAACTGAACAGGCAGAGCGTATGGTACAGAGGAGCAAGCGTGTTCTCACACCTGTCCAAGTTGGAGATAATGTAGCTGTGTACATTCCCAATGTTGATAGAGGCAGAGCTGACCCTCGGAATGTGATGGGTGTTGTGATTGAGTGCAGTGACAGCGAAATGTGTACTATAGCAGTGAAATGTACTATAGCAGTTGCTCGATAGGAAGTATGCTCGTAACCAATTCGACGTGTGTGCTACGAGACTGTACTCTGCAGATGACTTCAACACGGAGGTTTTCATTTCCCTTCGGCAAGCTGTTCACCAACACTCTTACTGTAGTGGACAAGGTTTCACTAAATGCAACTGTGCTGGCTCAAAGCGTTGTCAGACGAATCGCTGCAAGTGTTACAAGGCAAAGATTCAATGTGTTACTCAACACTCCCATGTTCAAATAAATATTCACGAACACAATGGAAAAAAATTCATGAAAATCAATGTGCTGTACCTTGTTCCTAAAAATGAAGACATATCTATGAAAACCAGACTGACTTTAAGAGTAATATCAATATTTCAGTAATTCAAATGATGTCAGTAAATATGTATAATTTTGTTTCTTAAATTTCAGGAATTATGTATAATTACTGAAAATGTCAGTAAATATACATAATTCCTGAGTGAATCAGACATTATACATAATTACTGAATTTTTCAGTAATTATACATATTTACTGATTATACATATTTCCTGTAACATATATACATATCTATAAAATCCTTCATCAAGAACATTGTCTATCACATATATAAAGGTTTTAAGCATATAGCACATTAAACTTACCCAGAGTTGAGTTGAGTTGGACGTCACATCGGCATTATTCCAGCCATATAGTGACGGGAGCAAGTGTGTATTAATATACGCTTTAACAAAACCTACCCAGAGGTGATTAGCTGATAAAGATGAAAGTGTTTGAAACATGCCTTCCTGGAATATCGACATTCCCTTTAATGTTGCTGTGTCATCCCTATCACAGCTGAACCAACAGAAGCATGGGTCACATTACGCAAGAGAAGATACCACCCACCGTGTTTAATTGTCATGCAAAGCCGGTAAACAATGGAATAAGTACCAACCTTCCTGTGTTTCGTACGTCGTAGACGTCACCAATTGGTGCAAATAAATAAAAGTGAAATCCTTTTCGTATTGATAAGGTATCTGTGCTAAATACATAGTCAACTGTACGATTCCGACAACGCTTTGAACATGTGTTAAATGAGAGGCTGACAAAGGTGATGACACAGGTGCATTGGACAGATGAGTACCAACATATACGAGCATGGTGCAGACAGACCAGGAATTCAGCGCGAATATTCGAACTGACGATACGAGGCGATAATAATAAATCACATGAAATTATTGTATGTGATGGTGGCATGTCCATTCTCATGTAAAAACACACCTACCTTGACGCCTGGACTGCAAGCCACACGAGAGTTGTCTCCCCGGGTTAATGAGTCTATCTGTTCACTGCGAGAGTTAATGTTTATTTATCTCCACCATTGCTTGTCATCATTGCAAAGCAGATTACCAGCGGTCCATATCATTTGTCATGCACTGTTTGATTGTATATTGTTTGCCGATTCTGTGTTTGAGTGTTAGGATTGGCTATCGATTTCCACTGTTTTGTGACTGATGCATTGAAAGGTCTATAAATCTGTGTTTCTAGTTGTGCAAAGTCTGACTGAATAAACATACATCCATTAAGGACGAAGAATACAAGCGCGACAGGTATTAATCCGATCCATTTGGAGCGGGGCGCGTTGTTCACTAACACTACCTTAAATCTAAGGGTTGATTTCAGTTAAATATATATGTGTTGGACCTGTGCACGTGTACATGTAAACCTTCGAACTGGGCCTAATGGAACAGATCGATGAAGTATTGAATAATGATTCAGTTGACTAAGGTCAGTCAGTTTGAGTGCACAGCTACATCACCTGTAGTGGACCTAGGTCCCGCTATGTGTGAGAGAGAGCGTGTGTGTGTGTGTGTGTGTGTGTGTGTGTGTGTGTGTGTGTGCGTGCGTGCGTGCGTGCGTGTGTCCGTGCGTGCGTCTGTGTGTGGTATGGGCGGGGTTACAGACTTTTATTTTAGAGTTTATATCCATTGTCAGTGGTTGTACTGTAATGGAAAGCCACTCTATATGGTAGCGAAAAGCGTACATAGTGCCATCGCATTTATATAAAGCGATAACATGAGACGAAAAAGTGATAACACCAGAAAGTAAACGTTTGCACGAGAAGAGAAAACTATACTGCTGCTATCTCGTGTTTATAACAATCCCGAGGACATCGATTGAGCAATGCCCCTTGGATGCCGTATCTATGCAGTGTGCCACTTTAAACCTTCATCCTTATTAAGATGTACCGACCGGTTACTATGAAACATACACAGCGTTAGATCTAACTCACTCACACATTCTCACCAGGTCAGAGCGGCTCCAAGGCGGTATTGCCGTCAACTAACATCTCCACTTATGAAGACTCATTGGCTGTAATGGAAGTACAGCCGCATTCGAAGTCAAGTGGATGTAGCGTCTGCCAAGACAGCGGAAGGCTGACGGTTCGATCCAAGGATACATCATTCCAATGAAGTTTGAACATGGCATTTGATGTTACCCTGCCTGGTGCTGGGAATAAACATAAATTGAATAGAACTAGAACTGGTCGGCTTGTGAAATAAGTGAAATACACACCAATCGAGCCGAAAGCTCCTGAATAATGTTTCATCGTTAAACTGTGTAAATGAACTCCAGCCACGCAGAGTGGGTAGTTACTACTGATGTCAGTTTGCATGTCTCTGTGTCCCGATTACTGGCGTGATGCTCATAGTATCGACCTGTGGCCTTACTGGGAAAATAGCATCCCAAATATCAACAGGACTCTGTGCCATAACTTGTTTACAGCAGCGTAGATAGAGCGACAAAATCATTACCATAGTCACAAGAAACATGTGCCAAAACGTCCATTGTACCATTCTGACCACACTATGGACATTGTTTCTTTGAATCAAGATCAAGTACTCATGGTGCAAGGTGGTCATAAAAAGGTGAACTAATGTATCAACGGTAGCCCCCATCACAAACACACGAAACACCAAGTCAATTGTTCAACTGATCAAACACATGGCCATAATGTACAAATCTGTTTGTCACAAAGAGAAATCAAATGATTGCAGCTGAAATAGTTCAGAACACATCAGCATTGTATTCAAATTCATGCTACGCCCTGAAGCAATACTAGCTGGAAATAGTAATAAATAAATAATTATAAATAACATTGGTAAAATATTGTACACCGGTGGATCGGTCACAGACAGATAGGCAAACTATTCAACCCTTCACTCAACTACCGCTGTTCATTATACCCATTGTAAATATACTCAGTAGCACCGTGCATAAATAATCAGTTTGCTTTGTATTGACAGGTGTAACAATCACCATCCGCACCGGTGTGTTATTCACAACTGCAGAGTGAAAATTCGATCAACTATTCATTAAATGATGCGTGTGCGATCGATGGCACAATTATCCAGTTTACTCATTGAAAAAGTTATTAAAACTAATCATTGTCGTCGATACATCAACTGATCGTTGTCCATTCAAATATAGTTCATTAACATTTCACTGATACCAGCCACACCTGCATGAAGTAACGGCGTTCATTCTATGTGCATGTCATGTTCATTTAGTGAGTGAGTTGGTTTTACGCCGCTTTTAGCAATATTCCAGGAATATCACGGCGGGGACACCAGAAATGGGCTTCACATTGTACCCATGTGGGGAATCGAACCCAGACCTTCGGTAATACGAGCGAACCCTTTACCCACTATGCTACCCCACCGCCTCTCTTCATGTAGTGTGAAAGATTCGTTTTATTGTAATACTAATATGTGTCCTTCTGATCACACATACATTGTTTTAACAGAAGAATCTGAAAGCACAATCTTCATGTCTCAAATATCTAACTTAACGTACAGTGGATCGTGGGTGCCAATGTGTCTCCGCGTCAGGCAGAATGAAAAGAAATAACATAACCCAAAAGGTAAATGGTACGAAATAAATGTATCATGTTGATCTTACAATTTATAATGCTGGTAATTAAAAGCTTTGGGCAAAAGGCAAGCGAAATGAAACGTATTTAGCAAGCCGATGAACATTATCGATCGTACGTTGGCGCTTCCAAAGGATGTGTACACACTAAATTTACACACACGATTTTGGAGTGATTTATAATACACTGTTGTTCAAAACAAAGTATACACCCATGTGTATGGTTGGCTAAAAATGAAACAGGATGTGCTACGGCTTCATAGGCGATATTACATTACTCATATGTCTGTCTCACGGCAGGCCATTGTTGTCAGTATAGTAACGTTAACTTTGTCATCTATTTTGCTAATGCAATTTTGCAAGAGGATACTTTCTTTTGTTCGGACGTTTACTACTTTGTCTCTGAGAAGAACGTATATGTGTTGTGTTCAAGACTGTTCCATTCTCCTGATATGGTGGCACCAACAGCAGAACGTTACGTCTATTTATAGAAACACACCAGCGGAATCGAATTCTGAAACCGGTGTAACATGAAAAAGTGCCTCGTGGTATTTTTTGTTTAGTCAGATTTTGTATGTGAGCCACCAAGAAACATATATTATTTTCTAACAAATCTTAACGTAGTCTTTCTTGCAATTGTGACTATGTGAATCGCTTTTGAACTGTCAATCTTTATGAGAAATTGTTATGTTCTCGTATAGGAAAATCGCATCTGTGATACAATACAATTCTTTCATGATTGAAGGGCGTCAACACGAAACATGAATATTGGTAATATTTTATTTCAAAAGATAAATGTAAAAAGTGCGTTTAAAAATACAATAAATAAGTAAGCAACGTCAATATAATCATATCGATCATTTTGTGCACATTGGTTGCTCATCAGTAAGAGAACATATCGTAAACATCACTGACTGATTTTAACACAAAGGGAAATATTGACGTTTCCCAAATAACGACAAATAAACAAATTGATGTAAACAAAAACATTCAAAGACCAGTAGTAAACAATGCAAATATCAAACAAAAACCCTTGAGTATATGATTGTAGTTTCCCGTGTGAAAGAATTCATTGGCACATTCAATGAGGAAAACGTGAAGGCGAAATTGATTCGTCTACATTGACACGCGGAGTGTCTGCCAGTCGATACACGTATTATCATGTTTACACCAGCCAATCCAATGGAGAAACGTACATCGTCCGGTAGAAAGGCGGTAAAGAATGAGAAAGTCTAAATTCATGGAATATCCCGGTGTGCCTACAAGAGTCTCTACATGCATTATTATATTCATGCCAACCAAGCCAGTGGCCACACGTACATCGTTCGGTAAGGAAAGGCCGTTATGATGAGAAAATCTACGTTTGTGGACTAATGAATATTTTGTGACACAAGCGAGAGACACGGATGTTAGAACTAGACACAAACATGGGATTCCGATAATAAGGTTTGTGAATAAGGCATGCCGTTCAAACGGATCTGTCCGATGTTCAGATTCAACACAAGGTCTATGGACCATCAAAGAATCAATAAAAGTGTCTGCATTTGGAGAGTGCGCTATGCTGACGTCCAACTTGCTCGGTAATCGCCAGGAAGACATTGAACGCAGCACATGGGATACCAACGGCTCTGGACAGTACAGTTTTAACGTATGAACATAAGGACCTTTGGTAATTACATATAGACTTGGTAGTAAATCTTGGATATTGCACAATCATAAAAAACCAACGCATCCTTAGACTAAGGAACTAAACATCTCACAATAAAATAAATCTAGAACGTGCAGGAAGATGGAATTGGTTAACCGGTGTACAATTCTGGGAACGCCCCTCCAGACAGATGCCATGAGCAGACCATGTATGTACGTAAATGTCATTGTTTATTCACATATACCCACGTAGTCTGTACCAAAATCGTATATTTCTTCCATGTTGGACTCACATCTGACACAGGGGGGCACTACAATTTAATTGGAGATGCTAACTCGAAGACACGTCACTCGAGTGATAATACAGAAAGGTTCTAAACTTCTTTGTGTGGCATTTAGAACCCGGTGTGACGAACAACACGTTTCATAGATTAACAACTTCTACATTGCAATAGATGCAACGTTTCGGTGTAAATGCTAACACCGTTATCAAAGGAAGTGTCTACACTGTGTAAGCATCACTATTAAGACGTCGCATCTACTGAAATAAAGAAGTTGTCGATCAATAAAACTGTTGTTCTGTTTCGATTTCTTGCAAAAATGCTACCTGATACCAAGAGTACACTACCCTTAATGTTCCTATCTCATAACGAAAGGTCAGGGATATGCCATAGGTTATGAAGCATACCAAAGGCAGGATAGGATAATAGATAACATATATTATGTATGTGGAATACATTCTGAAACACTTCCTGTGGGTAGATGCACACATAATATACTAATGGCGTATGCATCTCTTCTGCATTTATATCACATCACGTACAAACACATAATGTATCTATACTGTGTGTGAAACACATGACGTGTCGTGAAAGCGATTCAAATTCCCTAATACATAATGCACCTGTATTGTGTGTAACACACTTCACGTGTCGTGATGCACGTTATACACAATATGCATAATGCACATGCATTATGTGAGAAACACACCATGTGTGGTGATGAACATCGCCTACAGCATACATAATGCATCTGTATCGTGTGGGAAACATATTTTTTCACACACCAATGTTGATTTTGTACATGCAATGCAAATTCTGCGACAAAGCATCAATACGATCTTTAGTAAATACAACATATGTGATAAATATCAATATTGATCATGTTTATGGGATACAATATATGTGATCACCGCCGTCTCATACTTAACCACAACAGTTCAAGCTTGACATGTTATAATTAGCTTTGGTAAAATGATATGGAACACGTTAAGCGCAATACTGTTTCTATGAAAGAATCCCCAACCCGATGTGTCACGCCCAATTATGGTGGTAGGAAGTCAACATAGCATACGAAAGTTCAGAAAATAAAAAGTCAGAAACCACAACCAAACAATATGGCAATCAAGCCATTGATGACCCCAACAGTGTACAAACCTCACCTGCTAGTTTAACCACCACTATGTGCTTTTGTAGTATATTAGGAGCCAAACACTGACATATCTAATTCGATATCTAAATACATTGTCACAATGTACATTGTCAACGCTTGGTCACACTGCAAAAATCTCGGAGCGTGTAATTTATACAATTTATACAATGACACACTTTTCATACATCACATACGACACATGATATTATGCGACAAGATAATTCATATTAGGCAACAAAATGTGTATTAACATGTAAATATAAATCCAGTTTCTGATACAATAAATTCAGTATCGTCGGAACTGGGTATGTAAACAATACATATGACGTAAATATACACAATGTTCCTTGTCAGCATTACCTCGTTAAAACCATGTCGACCACCTACAACTGAAGCTCCCTTGCCTGGACTCAATCCCAGTTCAGCCAGCGCTGCTAGGAATCCATGTTGGAACTAGTTTCGTTCACGTGACTATTACAAGACTATCTACGTTACCATCTGAAAGCTGCAAGCGTATAAATTTCCATACATCTACAAAGTATACACCTAATTTCTGTTGAGCACACAATGACGTATCTTCAAAATTGGTCACTAGTTATAGGAAATCTATGCAATGGTTTGTCGCAAAATGGATCATAGTCAATCCATGCAGTATGACTACAGAAACTCCAAAGCAACACTAGGTACAATGTCGGTAACGGCACACACCGATACCACCTGGGCAGCTGCACCTACGCCAGTCAGCATGAAGCATTTTCTGAAGACAAGCATTCAGCACTGAATTTTGATCACCTTGGGTCTGGTAAGCTCTTCGCAGGGAACAAGGACTCGTAGGTGGGTGGTCCTGACCCTTCCTGGGTGGGTGGGGGTATACCTGCTGGGGATAGAGACCCGTATGGGGGAGGAGGGTGATCACACGAAAAAGGGGTGTGTCTCTCCGACGTTCTAAACGGTTGACACATGGCGTCTGCAGTCATATTACTCCTGTATAAGCTTTGTGAAGAGTAAGGGTACAAAGGGGAAGTTACGTCACTCCGATTGTTGCTAGGATACGACATGACAGATGGACTGTTTGTTGTGCTGGAGGGTGTTCGGCGCGCTGTTCGTGAAGTGTTGCGAGTACTCCTCGGCACATCGTCTTTTTCCGGGCATTTGTTATATCCACAGAATATAAACACTATAAATACTATAAATACGATTCCGATGACGAAAGCAACGATGATATTATTTGGAATGCTGTCACTTATATCCGATCTATAGTTGTTTGCATCTGAAATGAGAATGTACAATAATTATTATTTGTGACAGTTTAATTACTTGATATTTTGTGTTTTACGATCAGTTGCTTATATAGTCATTGTTGGGCTTTTAATTGTTTTGTACATTAAATGTACATCAGGATAGAGAAGATTTTTTGCAAATCTAAACGATACCTCAACCCTGAATGCAATTCAAATCACAAAAATATGTTACACAATTAACAATTGACTATGTTTACAAATCAACATATATACCTGCAGACCTATTACAAAAGTAGAAAATTTAGTGGCAGTACAATGGTAATGGCAGTATAAAGTTACTATACAATAGTAGTAGTAACTCCAATAAAGGCATTGACAATAGCCTAACGGAAGCAGAGGTTCCCAAGTTTTCATCAAACACGCTCGATTTGGGCCTAGCATGAGATTATAGAGACATGTTTTTGTCCACTTATATTGTCTGAATAGCTTCCGGAACACTTCTTACTTTAGATAGAAACACATTCTTGACAGCGTATTATCATTAAAACACAATGTTATGAACTTATACATGATCTCAATAAACATAATGGAATACAATTACAACACTGTTTAACGATAATGAGAACGTCACAGCAAATAATTATGCATGATAAATAGCAAACATTATGCATGATAAATAATGTTATCAGTCAACACTGGTCACTTTGAACCAAGTCGTGCATCAGCCATAATCTTGCCTTTGAATATAAAATGCCGTTTTAGAAAGTGGTTAAATGTAGTATATGTCATATTTAAAATAACACTTCCTTGGAAAGTAGTACTAAAAATTCTGGTACTTTCTACTGTTGAGTTGAATCCGGGATTCGAACCCACACTCTACTAAATCCCCCCA